CCTCCAGGATTTCCTTCTTGAAGAGCTTCCAGCCTTTGCCCTTTAGGACTGCCTCCCAAGGGACTTTACTGACCAGTCTTCTAAACAGTCCAAAGTCCACCCTCTGGAAGTCCAATGTGGCAGTTCTGCTGACCCCCCTCCTTGCTCCACCATGGATCAAAAATGCAATCATTTTGTGATCGTTGTGCCCCAGGTGTCCTCCAACCATCACATCTCCCACAAGGCCTCCTCTGTTCACACACAGCAGGTCCAGGAGGGCGCCTTCCCTAGTTGGTTCACTCATGAGCTGTGTCAGGAAGTTGTCTTCTACACACTCCAGAAACCTCCGAGACTGTTTCCTTTCTGCTGTTTTATACTTTCAGCAGCCATCTGGTAAGTTGAAGTCCCCCACAAGAACAAGGGCTGGTGATCATGAGATTTCTCCCAGCTGCTTGTAGTATCTCTCGTCTGTCTCTTCATCCTGGATGGGTGGTCAGCAAGACTTCACCCAGCTGCTTGTAGAATATCTTGTCTGTTTTCACCCACCTGGCTGGGTAGTCTGTAGCAGACTCCCACCATGACATCTGCCTTGTTGGACATTCCACCGACTTTTACGCACACACACTCAAACCTATCATCACCATCACTGAGCTCAAGGCAGTCAAAACACTCTCTAATGTAAAGGGCTACCCCACCACCTCTCCTTCCTTGCCTGTTCCTCCTGAAGAGCTTATAGCCATCCACTGCAGCACCCCAGTCATGAGAGTCATCCCACCACGTTGCTGTGATTGTGACTATGACATTGCGATTTAAGACACTCTGCTACTTTTTATTCCATTCTGGCACCACTTCCAGCTAATGCTGCCTGGCATTTTCTGTTAATTGTTTTCTTCTTCCAAATGGTTGTCTGTGTTGATTGTGCACTTCAGCTGGGCTATGGATTTCACCCCCAACATAGGCATACTGCCCCTGGGCTCATCTCTACTGAGTCTAGTTTTACCCCCTTCCCCCTCAAACCTAGTTTAAAGCCCTGTCCATGAGCCCCACCAGTTCACGAGCTAGAATCCTTTTCCCCCTTTGACATAGCTGAAATCCATCTGTTGCCATCAGACGCAGTGCTGTGTAAATCTCCCCATGATCAAAGAAACCAAAATTCTGCCAATGGCACCAGCCTCTGAGCCATGTGTTAATCAGGTGTGTTTTCCTGTTCCTTTCAGTATTCACTCCTGCCACTGAAGGGATGGAGGAAAACACTACCTGTGCTCCCAATCCTTCAACCAATCGCCCCAGTGCCCTGAAGTCCCTTTTGATTGCTTTTGGACTTCTCTCTCCTACCTCATCAGCTCTGACCTGCATGACCAACAGTGGGTAATAATCAGAGGTCTGTACCAGACCAGGGAGTTTCCTAGTAACGTCCCTTACCCAGGCCTCAGGGAGGCAGCAGACTTCTCATTCTAGAGTCGAGCACTACTGTCAAACTTAGCTCCCAGCTTGAGGGATCGAGAGTCTGACAATCATATACATAATGTAGTCTGAATCTCATATCACCCTTTCCAGGTTAGATGTCACTGTAAGCAACTAGAGCTGAAGTGGAACAGTGGCCCTTATCAGCTTGTATAGAAGCCAGGAACCATTGATAAGATATCACTTAAAAATACTTTTTCTTTTTTTTTTTTTTTTAATAGTACATATTTATTAATTATGTAGGTAAGTATCTGGCAATCCGAAGTATAAATATCAGTCACAAACAAGAAGACATCTTTTTTTCCACTCTCAAAAATACATGCTCCTGAATACTCCCCAGTGCAATACAGACTCAGTGTGGTCTACCAAGAAAGCACTATAGTCCACTGAACAAGGAAATAGCTGCCGTTCCTAATTTTCTACACATATTTTGCCAAGAATGTCATTATTTGTCAAAAACCTGGTAGTATCTAAAGAGGATCTGAACTCAACTAGATTCGCATTGCAGAGTACTTACCGCCCTTCGAATCTATGTTTTAAAAAATCAAATAATGCTTTTTGCATCATATCCGTTACCTAGAAGCAAACCAACAACAAATTAATCATCACATAGGAAACTCATAATACTTGATGCTAATGATATTATCTAATAAAGTTGATCTTATATCTGAACAATATGATTTGAAGGTAAGTAATTTATTCTTAATCTGAATTCTGATACTAAGTAAAATATATGTAAGCAGGAATCTGGTAGAAGTAAAAACTCTGTATTTTTGTCTATGAATAAATTATGTTATTCAGCTTAACTACCTTTGAACATTCAAATACAAATGAAGCACCATATTTATGTCAAAATAAAATGATTCACAACAATCACTTACCTCATATCCCTTCAGAGAAGGCCCCACTAAAACTACTGGTCGCATAGAAGGCACTACATCATAGGGAGGGATGTGCTCTGTCTGAAAAACAGAAAAAGCTTTCAGCATTGCAGCACCTAGAGACAGTGTTACACAGTACTTACAATATTAAGAACTCTGAATTTCCAGTGATGTCACCAACACAGGAATCATGGATTGATTAACTTTTCCCAAAAACTGGTAGGACAAGATAAAGACATAACAGGTTCAGGGATTTCTTTTGAAAAAGTTTTTCCTTGACTTTTGGTTTCCTGGCTGTTTTTATATTTGCTCTGGATAGCTACAAAACTGTCATTCTGGAGACATTCACATGTCCCACTCTGTAATTCCTAACTCATTAACTGAAAAGGTTATTCCAATAGTTAATGACTTGAAATTATTTACTCTAGAGTTGTGACATCTGTTTCTCACCAAAATTTTGTGGAGGCAAATTATGAAGGAGAAAAATAAAACAAAAAGGGAGCGGAAAAGCATAACACATCTCTTTTTTATGTTCAAATCTGCCCACTGCTTGACAAAACCTTGTGACACCACTGCAAATTCCCCTGGGAGCACTCATAGTCTGACTTCCACATTTGCACCTGCAATTCACTTGCAAATTAAATCAAAATAATGACTGATCAAGTTAGTATTTATAGAAAATCTTCATAAGCAGAGCTTGGGATAGCAATCCTTCCACTTTGGGAAGTTCCCATCACCACCCAAGAATGGATTCTGTTAGTATAATATTAACCAAACTTGTTACTGATGTATCATGCACAATTTATAAAACATATTTTAAAATACAAAGATAAAAAGATTGCCTGCTTCCAAAGATTGTGATTTTTTTATATTATTATAAAAAAAATATATATAAACAAATTAAACTGGGGTTTTTTGTTTGGTTGGTTGGTTGGTTTTTTCCTTGGCTTTCAATATATATCACCAAGAATGAGTTTAATCAGAAAGAGTTTTTGTTTGTAAGGGAGGGTTTGGTTTATCTTTGTCTTGGGGTAAAAATGCTTGAAATCCAAACCCAGAAACATGTGGGTGATATGGATAAAGGTATGCCAGATCTATTTTTCAAATGCCTGCATAGTACATATACATCAGTCAAGATCACAGAATACAGTCATTGTTTGTTGCTTCAGTACTCAATGTATCGCAAGGTATTTCACAATAACATTAAAATAAGTATATACATTCCAAAACACAAAACCACAAAGACAGACATTGATACAGTGACAGCACAAAATGCTACACAAGCAGCAGTCTAAAGCAGTCTAAAACATGGAAAACATTTTTGTTAATGTTTTTCTATGTAATTTATCTTAATTTTTGTTACCTGTAGCTTCACCAGATCATTAGTAACATAAGAATGAATACTAGTGCCCAAGGCATCATAAGCATGTGAAATGAATTTTTTACACAGTGCAGAATCTGGCTCAATACATTTCAAAACCCTGCAATTATGCTGTGCCAGTATCAAAATGTAGCCCTCCACTGTTCTTGCTAGCATTACTAATCATCTGATAAGCATATTAGAAACAGATCCTAAGAAAAATTCACTACAGATATATAAGTGCTAATAGCATGAGTGTCCTGACGCTACAGATCTTTGTCTTAATGTGGCTGACTCAACCAAAGGTATTCATGCTAGAAGTTAACCAGCTATTTGAAAATCAGGGAAAGCACAGAAATTACCTCATTTGATGGAATATGGGGTATTTTTAAAATCTGTTCTATTGAAACAGGCTTTTTTTTTTCTCTAATCTTTACAGTTTGAAGTAATGAAGCTGTCAGCGGAAAACTGATTAAAAGTTATGTAATGGAAGCATAAAAGTTACTTAATTTATCATTAAAGAATCTAGTATTTTCTAAGGGATTGGCACTGAGCTATACAGTTTTCACTTGCAGATTCAAGTTCAAATATGAGCTCGCAATAAAAACTAACATAGTTTTGACTATATGGCTTTTGGTCAGTGGTTTGACTATGATTAGTTTGGCATGCTCATCCAGTATTTACTGTAAATGTTAGTATTACAAAAACCACTATAAGCAGTAATGATTCTGATACAGAAGAAAAGAGGCACCACAGAATGAAGAGAGAGATGGGCCTAGCCACCATCCAGGTCCAGGTCCAAGGTGGTTCATCTAAAAGCTGCATCTTCAGAAGATGCTTATACAGACAGCATCCAATACATGTCAACATGTATTATTCTTCCTTAGCACTTATACTCGTTTATAAATATGACTAAATAAGAATGCTCAGACATAAGAAACTGCTGTTGATTTCCATCGTGGGCTGTGAATGACATGGTACTTAACAGACCCTACTGAAGCAAATACTAGTCACTCTGGAAGTAAGAAGGATCTAATATTATTTAGAAGAGTGCAAGAAGAAAAGAGAGATAGAAAAAAAGTTTTATTTACTAAACATGAAACCCACAGAAATGGCAACAGTGTCACTTGGCACTGTTTATAAGCACTATAAGTGTGTGTTGTTACCTGTAGATTTAAGTGAGTGGTTAAAAAGAAATGAATGAAGACTGAGATTTAAAAACAAAAAAGTAGAAACTGCATAGTTTGGCTGCTACCTAATGTCTTGATGACTTATTCCAGCAAAGATCCTAGAAACGTACTGCAGTTTGCTGTAACAGGATACCAATTGCATAATTCTGTAGTTATCTGGGTTACCTATGGAGAGACATTGGCTCTCCTGGGAACCACAAGTACCATTTCCAACAGCTAAGATACTAAAAAAGTCTGACTGATGGATGGCAAGAACATTTGGCCAATAATTTATACATGACAACAGGAAAAACTCAAAGTAAAGCGTCAAAATAAAACTGGCGTTTTCTACTGGTCTTGTTCACCTGCAGATTTTGCACCTAGTGAATTAGAAGTTTAAATACTGACTAAATTAAAAATACAACTGTTTTGACTATTTGATTTCTAAGTACAATCTGAGTAACTGATTAGATTCCAATAATTATTTCAATAGACTGAGTTATAAGGGAAAAAAAATTGAGAAAGTTAGAGATAGAAAGTATAACCATACACTAGAGAAGTGCATTGTATGGATTTGTTAGAAATAAATTTCTATCAAGGCCTTCCAAATGTGTCCTATTATTCCATCAAAAAGGATAAGTACTGTAGCAGAGTTTCACTGACCCACTGAACTCAGGACTGGTTTATTTTCATGTACTGAATCCACTAACAGCTTGATATGTTACTTCCTTAATTACAGAATAGCTGCATTGTTAACCTGCGATAATAATGCTAATGATGCCGTGGCAGGATAAACACAGGTAATGTCGATATAAACTTACCGATTTCTGCTTCTGCTTAGCTACAGCAGCATGGAAAAGAAACAAAGAACAACAAAGCATGCATGTTATTGGCTTGTCAAAGGACGCAGACAGTTAACAGGACTAGAAATGTGACGCAGTGCAGGTGAGCAGGTGGACAGATGGGAGCTTGGAAGTCGGTGTTACCTTCTTAAAGAAGGGCATTCTTTTCTCTTTGGAGTGGGGTGATGTTACACTGTTTGCACTGGGTTTGGGGGAGCGATGGTTTGCTGGAATATCATTTTCTTCTGCATCTAAGCCAGTGGCATCTATGTCTATAGCTATATACAGACAAACAATTCAGAATTATCAGATGACAGGGAAAGTAAAGATAGGTTAAAAAGGAAATAACAGGTAAAGAAAAATAAAACTGTCCAGAGTTATAATTAAATAAATAAATAACAAAAAACCCAACCATGAGTACAAAACACAATAAAACAAAGGGAAAAATTTAAAGGTGCAGTACATCAGGAACAGAAGACAGAAGGCAATCTGTAACAGCTACTCTAACATTTTTCTCTGATCCTCTTACACAGCTACATCAGACATAGACAGATTTTCTCTTAAAGACAGAGCAGTAGTCAAGTTCATTCTTGGTATACCAGTATAAATCCAAACTAGTTCACTGGAACAGATAAGACTTTCACCAAGGCGAAAAACAGAACCTGGCCAACAATATTTGAATTATTTTATAGCAATGAACTCTAATTCAAAATGGTGACCACGAACTGAAATTTGAAGTGTCACTAGTGTGTCTATAGGAAATTACGGAGCAGAAAAAAAATCACTTTTGAAGACAAAATCTGTCTGATACTGGTACAATAATATCTAGATTTATCTCAGTGTGGACTACAATTGGCTTTTTAAACCATTTTAACTAAAAATGCACAGTAGTCAGAAGATACATTTATTTTAAATAATAAAAGCAGAGCTACTAATAGTGAAAACTAAAAGAAAATGGGTAGCAGAAGAAAGGAAATTGATCCCAGCTTGTCTCAGAGACCTCGATCCTGTTGTAAAGAGTGAGGATGTAGGCAGGGCAAAATGGAAGTGAATACAATAAACCACTACTGTTCAACCTCTACCCCAAAAGAATACACAGCACACAATGCTTACACTATAAATATGAAATATTTACCATTCTTGGCAAGTAAGTAATAATAGAAGAAAAAATCATCATTGACTCAGAAATAAGTACATTTTCAAAATGCAAAGCCATGTTACCATGAATGCTGAGTCCAACAGATACCTGCTAACAATATCCAAAACAAAACAAACCAAAAGCATTCTTGCTTACAATGCTCAATCGTGTCCTAAGTAAAGTATTAAATCTGTCTTCAGAAAGGAAGTACATACACAAAAGCGATCCACAAACATGCTGTACAACATCACCCTTGTGTGTAAAGATCTTACCCCCTCCTGACACACTCTGGTGACACATGCTTATCTTGCCCTGTCATTATGTCAAACTGATTCTAACTCTAAACATATTTGTAAGCAGTATAATTTGCATTGACTTTATCCAAACCCATAATTAAACATTGTGAACTATTATGAAACCACCTTAGTGATCTGCTTTCAGGTGCTTGATGAGTGAACATCAACTAATACAGCAGCATGTGCTATTAAATCATGCAACAAATAAATATTTCTGTCAAGCCTACATGCAGCTTCTGATTTACGAGACACTTGGGACAGCGATCGCTTCTGTCTGAATAAAGTATATGTTCCCATTTGAATTATTCACAGATCTGATGCATGATGCCTGACAATCCTTGAGTTACAGAACTGTGCCTTTGAGCCTGCCCTTACTAGGCAAGCCTGTGAGTAGATTGGCACCCTGTTTCTAGACTCCTGCTCCAAAAAACAGCCACAAAAATCACATAACATTTTCTTCTAGCAACACTGTTCCTTCATCCTCTTCATAAGTATAAAAGGAACATATTATCTTCTCTTGAATACAGGCCAGCACAGATGCTATAAATCACTCATAATAAGGCATCTGAAAACTCCTTCAGTTCTATGTTCAACTAAATTGTCAGTAAAGAAAAATCAGGGCTGTTAAGTTTTTCCTGTAAAAAAGAAATGCAGCATGATCAGCTAGATATGACTATCTCCTTTTTTCATTCTCAGTCTTCATACTATGTAACATCTTCATTGGTAGTTCTTTTACTGTAAATTATCTTTAGTTCACTGGGTTTTTTCCCAAGTCATTTTCACCATTATCCTCATCCTGTCTGGTGGCCCATGAGGACTGTGTGGATTGATTACTATATCAATATACTATTGATTATTTAAATGGCTATGAGCCTCCTTTTAATTTGTTTTTCACTGTTTCTTCACCTTGTTTAGCTTTTTTGTTTTTGTGGCACTAGTTTATATTGAAAAAAATCCCTGACTCAAAGTCAAAGTATGAAGTTAAGTTATTCAGTTAAAATCTCTTCAACCCATTAAACAATCCATGTATTTGTCATTTATTATCCTTTCAAAAAGAGGCCTTAAAAAGAGGGAATAATAATTGAACTGTTCTTCAAAGTCACTTGAGTTCTTGTGTTAGACAAACTATGCCTCTTTCACCCTTCTTGGGATGCCTTAAGATAAGCAAAAAAAAAAAAAAAAAAGTGCAGACCCAAAATCCTAGTATCACAGAAAAAGCTAATCTGAACTATTCATAAATATTCTTCAAATCTTCAATGTTACTGAACACATTTTACCAAATTTTCTTCTTTCTCCAGAAAACCATGTTTCTGAAAACTACTGTCTGAAGAAATGATTCAATGCAATGAAAATTACAGGATGGTTAGCAATTAATCAGTTGGTAACCTAAGTATGCTACCTGTTCTCTTACCTCTAAATTCCATGCAACATTCTGGAATTTTCATATGGACTCATTTCCAAATGTTTTTAGGATAAAAAAGAATACTACAGCATATCAGATGCTCTAACTATAAAATTACAACACAGGCCCATGGACACTTTTAATGCAAAAAGGCAGGTTGTTGAAAAAGTGGGCCTTAACAGTAAATATGTCAGTTTAAAGCCATTTAAAAGATTTAAGACGTGTTCTACAGACTTGTGATGGACACATACTAGTAAACTAAAAATATATATTAAAAAAAAGAGAGAGATAGGAACTTAAGGTGAATTATGATAAACAAATTGCAATTGTAATAACATTGGTTGTTACAACCAAATTCATGGTTTCACAAGAAAGACAGATACATTTTTCAATTCATTTAATCAAATGAATCATAACTTGATTGAATTCCTCTGTCTCTCTGTTAATGTCCATGTAAATATTTTAAAATCTTGAGGGTCATTTCAAGATGTCTGCTCTGTAGACCAGGCTCCATACAAACTAATATGATTGGAAAATACATATCTTTGCCTCAGTAGAAAAAGCACTAGCAAGATTCATTAATATTTTCTGATTTCAGGTATTCAAAATCTACATTTTCTCTCTCAGGAGAAGAGAAAACATCCACAATGCAGCCGCTGAATTTAGTAGAATTTTTTTCCTTTTTTTTGTAATCTTCTGCTATGCTTTTTTCAAGGAGCTAATGCCAATTTCCTCCACCAACTTGCCATGTATTTGCTTCATACTTTTTGAATCCAACCTATCTAAAGTTAAATCTGTCTGTTGATGTTCTAAATATAAATTAGTATTTGTGAAAAATTTGTCACAAAAGGCAAAACATATCCAGGATGCTAATATTATGTGAAGCACATCCTCATTATCAGAATTGTGAAACTAAAAGATCCTGTTATTAAAAAATAACGCTGTTCTTTATGCTACTGCAGACATTTTTATTCTTATTGCTGCTTTTTCTCCTGTACCACAAGGTATT